GCATTAGCACCAGCCAACAACAATATTAAAATAGGCTGTTTTAGATGTAATATAAAAGTAATTAGCTAATAAACATATATAATTAGCTAATAAACATATATAATTTTTGCCCTGGGTCTTGTTTACAATTATAGAAATTATTATTTGAGGCTTGATAATATTAATTATGCAGAACTATTAATTAATTTAATTTGGAGATGTTATTAGACTACCTGGCTCTATTCATTAATTAGTTTTTATAATAGTTAAATATGCAAGCCAGGTTAAGCTGATATTATCCTCAAATATAATGTATTTTAGCTACTGTTTAATGATCAAAATGTAATAAATTAATAATTAATAAATCAATAAAATAAATTTAATATTACCTTGATTAAAGACATTTATCTGCTAAATCTGTTAATTGTATAATAGTTAACAAAGCGAAAAGATAAAATTTCTCCTAATTAGAGATGTGAAATACTACTTACAAATACTATCATGTAATTTAATTAAATATTGTGTTGTTTTTTCAATAGTAATATAGTATTCTAATCTTTTAAAAGTTATAAAAAAGACCATTCAATCATTAAAATAAAAAAAAAAATTCAGAAAAAAAAACTAAAAGCAAATAAACTTATCTTAATTTCTCTAAAATGTCTGATAATTAAGCCACCTCTGAAAAAGAATTTGACCCTAATTATAATATTATTTTTGAAGGGCAGATTGATTAATTTAATAATATTAATAAAAAAAATGTTACTACCATGTTGCCACTACAAGAAATCTTATCAGATAGTTCTAATATAAATTGCAGTATAAATAAGACATCACCTATATGAAATTTCATGAGTGAGCAAAAAGAATAAGATAAGGTTATTGCAAGAATATATAGAAAATGTGGTCAAAAATTTAGCCCTACAACAACTACTAGAATTTTGGGTAATCATCTTAGCAATAAGCATAGAATAGAAATTATTCTAAAAAGAAATAATTTGATTTAAAGACTATATGGTAAAGGTAATGTTCGGTGTAAAAAAAAGTGTTTTGATGCTGTTTTGAATTTTGTAGTTTGCTGCTAGCTTATATTTGTAATAATTAAAAATACTTGGTTTTAACAAATAGTAAACACATTTAACCAAAGATATGAGCTTCTGTCATGTCAGTATTTAAAGAAAAAGATAATAAATCAGTTTAAAGTTCGGCATGATCTTGTTGCTGAAGAACTTGAAAGTCTTACCACCAAGGTTGCACTTATAGTAGACATCTGAACATCAATTTTTAACCAGGCTTATTTTGATGTAACCATTTATTATATTGATAATAAGTGGCAAATGCGTCGATTATTACTAGATCTTATTCATTTCGAGCATAATCATACCATGATATCTATAAAAGAAAGCTTTATAAACTCTGTAATACTATAAATATTAGTGATAAAGTAATCTTACTTACTACTGATAACCATTCTGCAATGTACTTTGTGGAAGCCTAATTAAACAAGAATGAAATTTACAAAAGTTTTACTACTATCGCTGTTTAGCTCATGCTCTTAATCGGGCTATAAATTATGGAATGCAGCTTAAAACCTTGGTAATTGTAAAAGTTAGAAATTTTGTAAACAAAATTAGGCACTTAACTATTTTATGTGATGCTCTTTGTCAATTTTGTGATATGAATCAAAAAAGCTATACCAAACCAACTTCTGATATAAGCACATGCTAGAACAATACCTACAACATACTTTGTAAATTCAAAAAAATGCATAATAAGTTAAATTTAATTGTAATAGCATATAAAAAACAACTAGAAAATGATTATCTTAATGATGAGGAATAAGAGGTTGTAGATAATATGGTTGAATTGTTAGAGCCTATGCTTATCATGACAAAATTATTGTTCTCAAGCTTATATCCAACTGTTTTTGATGTCTGTTTAACTTTTTTGGGACTTTATCATCATCTTAGTAAATTTTTAGATAATGAATTACAAACAATAAAACGATATATGATAGCAGATTCTATTAGGTTTAAGCTAAATGAATATTGGTTCATATTTGAAGAATCAACTTCAATTGCAACAATTCTTAACCTTTCATCTAAGCTTTTGACTTTTCCCACTGGTGATAAAAAAGATGCTGCCCTTACTAGTCTAAGAAATACTATAGCTCATTATAATATCCTAGCAACAACTATAACTAACCCAATCCTAAATTGATATCTAAAAATAAAAGAAAGTTTTTTGAGTCATTATTAATATAGCAACAAACAATCGAGCAACCCTTAATAGAGGAGTTAGAACATTACTTATCCATGCCAACGACCATTAAAAATAATTCTCTCTTATGATGGGCTGAAAATGAATATAAATTTCTAACACTTGCAAAAATAGCATATGACTTTTTTTCAATCCAAGGAACAAGTGTTCTGTACAAGGAGGCCTTTTTTACTGTAGCAGAATATTTACAAAAGTTCATAACCGCCTTGATCCTCAAACTGCCCATGCATCATCTTGTCTAAAAAGTTAGATTAAACAAAATGTTGGTATATTAAACTGAAAATAAAAAGAGTTAATAATAATTGAAAGTAAAAAATTTTGAAATAGAGTTTTTTTTTTTCAGTATTATCTTAGCTATTATATAGGGTTGAGTCAACAGAAACCAAGCAAATCAAAAATTTTTCAAAATTAAAATTTTTTTAATAAAATAATAGAATTCAATATGTTGATTATTTTTTAATTAATAATGAATTTTGATTGGCATAATAAAATTTTAAGCTATTGAAGTTTGTGTTTTATAGTTGCATAAAGATTGCAGTTCAGAGATTATTCTGGAAATGTAAATCGATCAACCTTGGAAACTTATAGCACTGGGTTATCATGTAACATGATCTTATCATGATTGTGACATGCTTAAAAGTCTAATATATGTAGGGTAATATTTGTATATAATTAGCGTTTTAATAAAGTTTTGTTCTGTGCTTAAGAGAACCGTAGGGCGAAGATTCATGCTTGGACAGATTCAAACAATACACTAGTCAGATAAGCCAAGCGAGAGTAAAGGCATGTAGAAACCTAGATTGGTAATGGGTTCTGGTAATGCCACAATGCAAAGGATTTGAGTTAGACAAAGGTCTTTCCCGTTGAAATTCAAATGATCAAGGTGCCAAGTGGCAGTTCATATTTGTAGAATGAAAATAGATGTAATATGAAAGGAAGCGAAAAAACATTGTTTTAGTATAATATAAGTAAAAAAAAAAAAAAAAGTAAAGGAAACATAAAAACCTTCCTGTGACTGAATAACTGTTTTTATCATTCTATAGTAAAATTTGTAACAAAGTTGGAAATAAAAATGAAGAAAACATTAGCATTAATCAAGTAAGGCACAAAGCAAAAAAAAAAAAGATACCTGAAATCACGAAACGGTATTGGAATTGATGCGTATTTAGTTAGTACAACCAGTTACCGGTAATAGAAAAAGAATATTAGACATGTAGTGCAAGTTGTTAAATATTTGAATAAGAGGTCTAGTCTATTATTCGAATAATATAAATGCTGAACACTTGTTAGGTTTAGAGTAGACGGTACGATTTTTTTATTTTTTATTTAATTTTATTTTATTTTATTTTATTAATTTTTATAATATTAGATATCTAAGATTAGAAAAGATGATGTGAATCATAATCTAGCAATCATTTCACAATACAGTACGTATAACATTATGGTGTTCTAAATGATGAACTAAGTTAGTAGGATAAAATGTACAGAATAAGATTAATATTAAAAGCTGTTTACTGAAGATAAGAAGCCACATACTAACAAATGGAAATTTGTTTAGAAGTCAGACCGATCATCAGAGTTTAGAAGGAATCTTAATGAAAAAATAATGAAGCATACTAAAAAGGCAGAAGACAACTTAGTTGATTAAGTTCAAGTGAACGTAAATGGAGTGCATATAGATATAGTATGTTCAGATTTTAATCATAACAGGTTCGTACATTACTCATCATTTTTCTATATAGAATGAATTAGCTGTCTGTTATTGATGTTATCTTGAAATAACACATATTAGATATAATGATAGGTGTATGTATATATCAGATATGTACTGTACATACGTACGTACGTACGCATTTGCTAATGATCAAGATAATGCGCAGGTGCTTCTTAATTATGGTTTTATGGTATATAAATGGTCTATAATATTTTGCACATTTTGACTTTTGTTTTTCTTTTTCGCTATAAGTATCAATGTCTAAAATTAAAAATTTTCTATTTGATATTATCTTTTTAGAAACGCATAGCAAATTAAAAACTTTAAATGATGAACTAATTAAACTTTATGAAGTTTATCAAACGAATAATTTAAAGGATGATAGTGATAGTGACGGTGATATTGACGATGACAATAATTATAGTATAGGTAATAGGAGCAAAAATATATTATCTGAAAGTCAGGAAGATGATGTAAATAATAATATAATATCTGAAGAAGGCCATGAAAATAATATAAATGACGTTTTAACTTTAAGACAAATTAATAAATTCAAAAAAATTTATACCCTCAAACCAATACAAGCATCTATTAAAAAAAGAAAAAAAACCTTCAAGAAGATTAGAAAAATATGATAATGAGGCGTATTTAAAAAAATTAAAAAATTCATGTTGTCAAAAGCATTGTATTATGATCATTAATGTACAAGAAGCTTTTAACCGTTATCGTGAAGTAAAAGCATTATCTCAATCAGAAAGTAATTTTTGTTTTTTGGGAATGCTAGATGCTAGTGCTAGATTCAGAATGTTAAATAATAGAGTATCAAAAACATATTTAACAACCAATTACAATTTTAGTAGAATATCAGTTTGTTAAACTGCTTGGCTAACCATATATGGTATTGAACTCATAGGCCAACATTCTTCTAATTGGCTGATCAATTCAATTGCCTGGGTAACTAATTTATACAGTTTAAAGTACTTTTTAGGAATTCGATGTTTCACTAACAAAAAAAAAATTTTTTAATCATACGTACCTTCGAAAAGACGTTAACAACTACTGTGCAAAGTAATTAAGAGATAATCAACATTCTAGGTGAGTTTTATTAGAAGAGAATAATATGCCTCCAACTACTCCTCTTATTGGTCCGTGCATTATTACTATTTGTCAGAGACAGTCAACCCATTGGAGAAGGGTAACTGAGAACTTTCTCTCTAAAGCCCAAGCTAATAGTACTTTACCAAGTTATGTTTGTTTAGATGATACGGTCTGTTCAGCCTGTTATAACGGAATTATAGTAAACTGTTCACTTGAATTCAAGCAACATTTTCAAGTTATTATAGAAGAGAATGATTTTGAGGAAGTAGACGATATTGAAAGCGAAATTACTAACCCCACTTTATCATTTTCTCAAGCAATAGCAGTACTAACAAAAATTTTATATGCTCGTGAAAAAAAAGAACAACCCGTAATATATGAGTTTGAAGAATTTAAGGAAATCATGGAGAAAGAGGATGTAAGATTAAAGCCTTTTTTTAATGAATTGTATTTGTCATCTAACCCATCAAAAAAAAGTAAAGATTCACAGAAATGGGTCAAAAAGCAGCTTCTATTTGTTTGCTACTTTCTCTGTAGAATCCGTAACAAGTTTGTGAATTATGTAAAAAAA